CCCTAGATACCAAGTTTTATGTGAATCCATCAATTAAAAAAAATTTCGTATACCTCCAAAGATTCGCCAAGGTTTTTGAGGTTAGAAAAAAATCCTGACGTGATGGAGCAAAACGGACATCAGATTCGTGTTCAGCGGCTCAAAATACATGGGGGTAGGGTACTCTGACCCTCGAACCCCGACATTTATTTTTTTTGTGGGGCTGTGTAATATCACCGTTCTAAACACAGTCAAAGAAAGTAAACAGGTTCCCAGTGAGAAATGATTCGTCGATCGACGTCGAAACTACGTCGAATCGACATCGACACCGTCGAATTGACGTCGATTCGACATCATTTCGACGTCCCCTAGCGGAAAAATTCTATAAATAACTACAAAAAATTGACTTAAAATAGAAATTTGTAGAAATTTTTATATCTTCGTTGAAACATTAATTTTTTATAAATATAATTTTATAAATAAAATATGAAAATATCTACAAAATAGTACCACAAATTACAATGTTCTCATATCAAGAAATTATTGCGAGTACTAATATTTCGTGAAAATGTACAATTTTGTAAAAATTCCTACAAAACTTTACTGGTTTTAAAAATTTGTGAAACAATAAAATCTTAAAGAATTAATACATCTGCTTACTTGTAGAATATTACAAAAATTAACAAAAGTGTTCCAATTCTAGCATTTTCATGTTGATTTTCATAACACTTTTTAAATTTACGTAGAATTTCGTAGATTCTGGCAGTTATATTTAATTGTTGGATTTGAATATCAGCGCCAGTGGCGCTTCTTTCTCGTGGTAGCTCATTGTAGCTCGGTTGACCTCTTCATCTGTTTTCCCCAACTGTTTTATATATATATACCTCCGGCAGTTGTTGGTATCGGATCGTCGTATCGAATAAAGGACTGTCTTACAAGGATATACGTTTTCGTTGTCTGCTTTCACGATACCCAAAACCGTCAAAAGGTGATGGGCTCAGATCGCTCTGTTCACTGCGCTTGAAGTATTATGTGAAGAAAAGACAAGGGAGAATACGGAACGAGAAATATCAAGGAGAAATTAAATTTATTATTTCGCTGATTGATCGTGACGCTGGCGAGTGATATCACACCCGTGTACAACTGTTTGATGACCATCTTAACGACAGTAAAAGCACAACCAATCGGCCAAAATGTCGATCTTAAAGGAAATTTTAGCCAAATGCAAACAAGCATTGTTTATTGAAGAAGAGGACATACAGGTCACAGCAATGATTGATGAGCATTCCTTTTCAGTACAGTTTACGACTGGTGAAAAGTTTGTTTTGAGTAAGTAATATATACAAAGAAAGTAAAAGATTTCATACTATTAACCGTCGCTAAATCAACCATTCAAGTGGTTCGCCGACTTTATTGAATCCTAATGTGAGTTAACGAGGGATCTAAAATAAAAGTTCCTGGGTTGCTTGGCCTGTACGCGGTTGTTCATCGTGGAAAGGCTAAAGTAACTAGGATTGCTTCTGAAATGAACGAAAGTAACGTTTGTGGACGAGCAATCCGTTTCCGATTGTTAGAGTTTGTGTTCGACGAAGACAATCGAGAAGCAAATAAATTCAAGTTAATTACAAATGAGATAGTTTATGACAGTTTATCTTTATTCGAATCTGTTACTCCCAGGTAAAGAAAAATTGAAGGGTAAATGGGATGTCTTAAAGACAGAATTAACGAACCTTGAACGAAACCAGGACTCAGGCGGCGGTTCAGGCGAAGGTAATTCCAAAGGTTTGGTTGAGTCAAAGGAGAAGGATCCAATAAAGGTGAAAGAGATTCGAGGGATCAATTTTAACGACTGTATAACGAATGATGACTCGGATCAAACCGTGGAAAAGACTGTTGAGAACACGGTTCAAGCTTCTCACTCCGGAACTGATAAGCCTGTTAAACGAAAACGGGATAAAGGTAAATAACAGCAGTTGACTCAGCTCCTATCGGAAGAGATATTTAACGACTGTAAAAGATGTTAATTGAACGACTGTAATGACGACCATAAATTAAACGACTGTAACTACGACTGTGAACTAAACGATTGTAAATAAATTTGTTCATAACTATTACAGAAAACATAGATCCCAGAAACGAAGTGGAAGAGACGAACGAGGGACAGCATATAACTCCCAGTTATGACGATTTGAACGAAAAGTACACAGCACTACAGAGTTTGATAGAGAAAACAATGAACATGCATCAAAGGGTGCGGGAAAATTTACAAATTCAGAAATATCAAAGGCAAAGGGACATAGAGAATCAGATAACAGCAAAGAAACCTAAAATTACATCCGTTGAAGTTTTGCCTCCCCGTGCTCACGTTTTGAGTAGTTCTACAAATTCTCAAACCTTATCAGTTCAGAATTGTGTTTCGAATAGAGTTCGCGATGATTTGATTCCCGAAACTAATTCTAACGAAAGCCCCGCAGACAAAATTAAGGAGACAATAAAAATCGAGCTTTTAACCAAGGATAGCGGTACTAAGCGTGATTACAAATTAGGCCCGAAAGTTAAATTTGAACATTTCTACTGTTGTGCCGCCGACTTGGTCGGAGCACGAAATCTTGGGGATCATTGCCGTAATGACACCTCGCGGTTTATGAAAGGCCATACGCCATTATCTTAATCAATATCTTTATTAAAGTTTCGATACAGATACGTACACTCGTGTGGTTTACTTAAAAATGACCCGCCCTGCCTTCTTTCCATTTGTTTTTATAGTCGGCTGTTGTCAAGCCGTTTATTCGGGTCTGTCGTCAGGTCGGTTCTAAGCTAGTCAGCAGTGGCTTCGTCAGCACTGCCGACTCGGTTCCGATGGGTTAATGTCCCATCGTCTACTTCCTTCTTCGCACGCGGCAGTTATTTGATACTCTGCTGCGTGCGTTACACCTGTGTTGCAATGAGGCGGTTTCGCACTCATTACACTACGAATTCCTTTCTTCCGAATTACGAACTAACGATTTTGATAAGAGTTTGAATTTTCGCGGAGATTTTTGTTCGTTGCCGTGCGATATACGCGTTGCGTTTTTGTTTTGTCTCGTCGGTCGTTTTCCGTGCCGTCTGTAGAGAAAGGTTGGTCAGTCTCGACATGCCAGACAGTAAAGGCAGCGATCCATTCTTTTCATTATATTTGTTCACCGTATAATACACCTGTATAACGAAGCCTATACTATATTACCTGAATAAAGGCTTACTTTGTCACTTGCATACGTAATAACCAGCTCTCATTATTTGGTAATATCATCGCATTCCCACAACAAGGTTATGGGCCCAGAACGTTCCTGCTGCGCACACACGTACACACGCAAGTACAAGCATACCTAAAAATGGCGAGCATAAACGCGTTCGATCGAGTCGATAGGCTAAATAGCAATAATTATCGAACATGGAAATTTGCGATGAAAATGTTGCTAATACAAAGAGAGTTGTGGGATCATGTAAACGGATCCGCTACGTTGCAAGATGATGCTACGGTCGAACAAAAGACAAGATTTACGTCAAAGGATGAAAAGGCGTTGTCGACGATTGCGTTGTCGATAGACCCGGATCAGCAGGTTCATATAGTACATTGCGAAACAGCCCGACAAGCATGGTCGGTGCTTGAGGAAATATATGAACCAAAATCGAGACAGAGAATAATGCAATTAAAAAGGCAATTCGTCCGAATTCGGCTAAAAGACGACGAGAACATGGAATCATACTTAAGTCGGCTAAAAATCTGTTCAGATTATCTGCGCGAGGCAGGCGCAGAAGTCAAGGATGAAGATTTGGCATACGCCATGCTTTCTGGTCTTCCTGAAACCTATGATGCTCTCACAATGACGCTCGCAAGCCTGGAGGACGAGAAATTTACCTCGGTTGAAGTAAGGAAGGCGTTAACTATGGAACATGACAGACGAATATCTAAATGCGAAGATGAGCAGCAAAAACACGAGATCGTTGCATATCAGACGAAAAAAGGTAAGTCGAATGCATCTGAAAAACATAATAAGTCTGGAAAATGTTTTAGTTGCGGAAAGCAAGGACATTTCGCGAAGTATTGCCGAACCAAGGAGAAAAAGAATGATAAAAGCGATACCACTAAACACAAACAGATCGCTTTGTTTACGGATGTAAATTGTGCCATGTTGGACGATGCATGGTTGATGGACAGCGCTGCGACACATCACGTTTGCAGACACGAAGAATGGTTTGAAAATCTAAAGAAAATCAAACCCGAACCCATCAGCACAGCGGAAGCGGCAGTCTACGAAGGCGAAGGATCATTAACTGCGGAAGGAATCGGCGACATAAAATTGCGAGTCAGAAATAATCACATGGGTTGTGAAATACTGCTACAGAATGTCTATTATGTTCCCAAGTGTCGTAGAAATCTGATGTCAGTGGCCCAAATAGAGAAGAAAGGTAGAAAGCTAGAGTTCAAGAACGGTATGGCTCGCGTCATGGATGGAAGAACGAGTCAACGAATAATTGAAGCTCGCAGATTGGATAATCTCTATATAGTCCAAGCGGATGTAATAAATCCTAAGAGCCAAGATATAATTAAACTACACAGCACAAGTATGGCAGAAAGAGACTTATGGCATCGGCGGTTTTGTCATATCAATGATAAAAGTATAGAAGCGCTAAAGAAAAAGGGATTTGTTCGCGGACTAGATTTTCACAAAGTAAATTCAGATCTTTGTCATGGTTGCTGTATCGGGAAATCAACTAAAGTACCGTGCAAGCGTATCGAAGGACGTCAAACAAGAGGCATATTGGAACTAATCCATTCTGATTTGTGCGGCCCCATGCCAATTAAATCCATGGGTGGTTCAAGATACGTATTAACGTTAATAGACGATTACTCTCGAAAAATTACAGTTTATTTCTTGAAAAGTAAAGATGAGGTAGTTCATAACGTCAAAAATTTTGTAAGCAAGGTCGAAAGAGATAAAGATTTAAAAATAAAGCGTTTCAGAACAGATAATGGACTCGCGTATTGCAATAAGGAATTGCAGGTGTTCTTCGATAAATTAGGCATCAAGCATGAAAAGTCATGTGTTGAAACTCCTCAAATGAACGGAGTAGCCGAACGTGTTAATCGAACACTGATGGACTTAGTTCGATCAATGTTAACGTCAGCAAAGATGCCATCGTGTTTCTGGGCGGAAGCTACGAGTACTGCGGCCTATGTACGAAACAGAATGGTTCACACTATCTTAGAGGAAGGAGTACCGGAGGGAATATGGAATGAAAGGCCACCAAGCGTAAGGCATCTTAGAGCATATGGATGTTTAGCCTACGCACATCTATCTCATCAAGGAAGAAGGAAACTGGATCCTCGGGCTCGCAGATGTGTCCTCGTCGGATATTCCAATCAAACTAAAGGCTATCGCTTATGGGATATCGAGAAGAAGGAAATTATCCAAACAAAACGTGTAAAATTCGATGAAACCAAGCTTGGATACAACACGGAAGAGAATACAACAAATCAGATACTGTTCGAGTCTCCTTACGCCGAATCTTCGGAAGAGGAGCAAGGATCAGACAATGCACAGACCGATGTTCAACAACGAAGCGAGGAAAAACGTCACAAGAAACAATGGGTAAGAACTGAGCCGATTCAAACGCGCTCAAAGACTATCGCTCAAGGTAAGACGGACGACAGTGACGAGGAATCTTCGGATGAGCATACTGAACAAGCGAATACAAAAATTCAGAAGATAGTGGGGACATCATGCGATGAAACTGAAGAAGAGGCATCCGGAAGATATAAAAGGAAGATAAGAAACCCGTATGGTTGTAAAGGCAAGCCGAAGGACAGAGTAGAGTTGAATTTAACGCGAATAAAGGAGCCTCAGAATTTGGAAGAAGCGTTTTCATCACCTCAATCAAGTGAGTGGATTCAGGCCGTAAAGGAAGAATTAAGCAACTTGGAACGACTAAAGACCTGGGAAGTCATCGAACCACCAGCAGACAAAAACTACATAGATAGCAAGTGGGTGTTTAAGCTAAAGCGTGACTCGAACGGACAGGTTGCGCGATACAAAGCCAGGTTGGTCGCACGAGGATTTTCCCAAAGGGAAGGAGTTGACTATACTCAAACATACGCTCCTGTTACAAGATTTGCAATAGTGAGACTTCTATTAGCAATTTCGGCAATCTTCGGCTGGGAAACGCGCCATATAGATATAAAATGCGCATACTTGAACGGGCATTTGAAGGAGGAATTGTATATGAAACTACCAGCGGCACACAAAAAGGAAAAGGCTAAGATTGTTAAATTACTTAGGCCCATTTATGGATTAAAACAGAGTGGACACAATTGGAACGAAGCTTTGGACGGTTTCCTGATTGAAGCTGGTTTCACGCGTCTGAAGTCATCTAATTGTACTTACCAATTTGACTTCTGTACATTCCTGGTGACATATGTTGACGACATCGTTGTTTTCTCAAGATATCAAGAAACGATACATAAGATAGTTCGTTTGATACAAGATAAATATGAAGCACGAGATTTGGGTGAAATCACACATTTCCTTGGCGTAAGCATCGAAAGGGATCATGAAGGCGGCATAAAAATGAATCAAGAGGCATACATCCAAGAATTGCTGGAACGATACGGTTTGCAGGAGTGTCGGTCCGCCTATATTCCGTTAGAACCAGGAAGTCCAATGTCGAAAGAAGATTCACCAAAAACGGATGACGAAAGGAAAGATATGGAAACTACCCCATATCGAGAATTGGTCGGATCACTCGGGTACATCAGCCAATGCACCAGACCCGATATAGCGTTCGCAGTATCCAAATTGGCTCAATTCTCATCAAATCCAGGAAAGAAGCACTGGACGGAAGCTAAGCGAACTCTTAGATATTTAGGCAGTACTATAAATTATTGTTTACATTACAGTAACGACGAACCAGACATAAAGGTTTGGAGTGACGCGGACTGGGCTGGAGATCCGGACGATAGGCATTCATTCACAGGAACCACCATTGCACTAGGAAAAAATGTTGTCAACTGGAAGGCGTCCAAACAGAAATGTATAACGATGTCGACAATGGAAGCAGAATACGTCGCACTGCCCTTACG